AAATAAATAAATAAAAGTTAAATAAATTCATAAGAAAAAAAAGAAAGAATCATAGACCAAAATGTTTTTTATTGTTTTCATTATGAATAGATTTTCATAAAGAAAAAGAGTGAGGGGGCCAACAGGTGGCATGCTGGTTAAGACTCTGGACTAACATATGCTGACCATGGTCTGAGTCCTGGACCTGGTGACTTGATTTCTCACTTTCTTTCCCTCTCATTCTCTCTGTATTACTGTCTGATAATCACACATACCCTATGGCAAATGAAAATGATAATAATAATAATAAATAAAATTTAATTTAGTAATCTTAAAAAGTGAAATCCCAATTTTATAAAAATAATCTATATTATACTTATAATAAAATTTATAGGAATCAATATATGTACCTAACAAGTGTTTAATAGTAAATTCAGAATACAAACAATTAGATCAGAAATCAATGAAGTTGTCTGGTAAACATGTACTAATAAAAATGATTTAAAATTTAAGGAAGATATATATATATATTTTTTTTTTTTGAGAGGTTTCTCGCTATAGGGCAAGTGTTGCCAGACAGACAGAGAGAGACAGAGAGACAGAAAGCGAGAAATCACCCCCTGGGGGTATGGTCACGCCACAATCCCTTCTCCTCCATTCTCCTCTCGGGATCTTGGGCACGCATGCACACGTGCCTGGTGTGAGTTTTTTAAGTCACTGGGTCCTGGACGTGAACCGTTTTCAACTACGTGGGAGTCCAGTGACATAGCCATTATGCTAACTGCTGGTCCCAGGAAGACATATATTTAAATAATATTGAATTTAGAATAAAAGTAATTTCAACATTTAAGTCATGATTTTTAAGAAAACAAATTGGAAAAACATACAATTGAGCCTTGAGCAATGCAGAGGCTAAGGGCACCAACCCCCTTTCATGTGACTGCGAATACCCAGGAAGCCATACCAATAACATATGCAGTCAATTGACACTTATTTTGTATATTATAAATATTATATACTATATTCTTCAATAAAGGAAGCTAGAGAAAACAAAATGTTGTTTAGAAAAAATAAGTAAAATGCGTTTATGAAATGCATGGTATTTTTCAATATATTTATTGAAAAAAGTCCTTGTGTATATGGACACGTGAAGTTCACACTCATATGTTCGGAGCCAACAGATGGAGTAGCAGTTATATCACCGGACATCCACATGGCTGACCACAGTTTGAATCCCGGTTCTGGTGGCTTGAAGCTCATGCTGGGTACATGTGCATGTGTGCCCGAGATCTCAGAAGGAGGAGGATATAGGAGAAGGGATTACAGAATGGCCACATCCCCGGGGGGAGCGGGGGAGATTTTTCACTTTCCCTCTCACTGTCTCTGTCTCTTTCTCTCTGGCAAGTACATGCACACTAAGGCAAAAACCTCTTATAAAAAACAAAACAAACAAAACAACAACAACAAAAACCTCCTACATTCCATTATATTAGTATTAGATTATGAGAATTAATACTAATCATCATCACTAATGTTGAAGGTGAAAAATCTGCAAGAGTGAACTATTTAGCTCTTCACTGTTCTCTAGAACCTATCACAGTGACATACGTATGATAGATTTTTCAGAAGTACTCTCTGATTAAAATTATTTGTCCTCAAGTTACAGAAGATCTAAGTATTTTCGGGACCAGCAGATGGCATAATGGCTATGTTGCTGGACTCCCACGTGGTCTACCGAGGTGCGCATCCCGGACCCAGTGGCTTAAAAAACTCACGCCGGGCGCGTGTATGTGCATGCCCAAGATCCCAAGAGGAGAATGGAGGAGAAGGGATTATGGCGTGGCCATCCCCCCAGGGGGATGATTTCTCGCTTTCTGTCTCTCTGTCTCTGTCGGTCTTTCTGGCGAGCACATGTGCCCTATAGCAAAAACTCTCCAAAAAGTAAAATAAAATAGGATCTAAGTACTTTAACATCAAATTTATGTATGTCCTAGAATACTACTTTCACTGCATCACTGTCTGCATAGGCGGTCCTCTGTTGAGAGGCATTCCTATGATACTAATATTACATAAAGTATGGATAATTTCTACATAGTATAGTGTACTAGAAATTACATAAATAGTGTTGTCAGTATGACATATTTTGAGTTTGATTTTTAATATTCAGAAAACATTCATAAGTACATTCTGCTCTCTGCTCTCTTCATGGTCAGTATTGTAAAATTGACACAGTTAATTGTTTCTCAAAAACACAACTTGGCAAGTCAAATACCATTTATTCTAGGCACAGATGAAGTAATTAAGGCAAAGAAATAACACATTACTTTCCAAAGTTCTCACTCCTGAAAAGTGCTATAAATGAGATTCTTATATAAAATTGTCTCATTTTCATAGATTTTATTTGCACTGCCACCAGAATAATAGAACTGCTTGCTAGAAGTAAGAAACCTAAAGAAAAATAAGGGTAATGATAACAGAAACATTGCCTTAAAAACTCAGAGAAACTATCCAAATTTAGCTTTAGCAAAATGTTTATAAAAACATGAAGGTGTTTATATTTCACATAGAAAGTATTGACATTTGAAGGAAAAAGCACCAACTCAAGGACCATGAGAAATAGTAGTAGAGACTCAAAAGAATTTGCCCATTCATAAATAGAGAATTAGCTAATATGGTGCTTGAGCAAAACAGATAGGAATACATGGTGGAAGTAAAGCTAGATGGTATGCATCTACTTTTAGTAAACAGACAGCAGTTACTCAATTTGCATCAGTAATTACATTAAGTTCCTTGCAGCATGCTGTTTCTGTAACTCTTTATCAGTGTCTCCATGGTTACTCCTGGCAGGGCATGTCCTATATATGTTGAGTTGTGTCTTTTGGAAGATGAGATTAAATTCAGTATACCCCCGGACACAGAATGGTACTTGCTAGGTCCAAAGACAAAAAATGGTATTTGACTTACTTCAAACACTGTGCTTATTCGTTAAGTTATGGGATAATTTTGGTATATTTGGAATTTAAAACAGCAGGAAACCATTTATTTCCATCTAGAATGATTTAATTTCCCATGCCCAAGTGTGGCATGGGTTCAAGGAACTTCCAGTTCCATAGGACAGATGCAGGACAGTGAGTAGGGAGGGGATAATGTTCAAATGCTTAGTTCATCTTCCTATATATGGAAAAAGCTATAGCCACTCAACCTGGTGGTGCAGTTGGTATCAAAGTGAATGGTAGTGCTGGAAATCACATGGCCAACACTTGTTCCAATCCCCAAGTCATCTTGAAATCATGCTAGGTATGTGTGTGAGGCCAAAATCCTCGTGAGCTGGAGGACTGAGAAGAAAGTGTGGGATGAAGAAACCATGTTAAGGATACTTCTCTCTTTTTTTTATTATGCACACACTCACACACTCTGTTACAAATAACTCTTTAAAAAGTCATAGCATTACCTGGTTTTCATGATGAAAAGTCAATGTGAATACATGTTTAAATCAATATTGAAGCAATTTTTATTTAAAGGATATATTTATTTTATCTATGTAATATAAGATTATTTGGGCTGGCAGGTGGCATGGCAGCTAAGGGCACTGGACTCCCATTTAGCCGATCATGGTTTGAATCCCAGATCTGGTGGCTTGCTTACTTGTTTTCCCTCTCTCTCTCTCTTTCTCTTGTTCTCGCTCTCATTCCGTCTCTCTCTGATCAAACTAAAATAAATAAATAAATAAAGTTAAATAAAATAATTCTAAAAACCAAAAATGTCCCACAGGGAAAAAAATTAAAAAAAGGATTATTTAGTACAAGGCCAGCTCATGGTGTGGTGATTAAGGCAGTTGTATCCAATATGGTCAACCATGCAGCTGAAAAATACTCTGAGCACATATGTGAACTCAAAATCCTGAGGACAGAGAAATGGAGGAGAAGGGATTGCAGAATGGCCGTGCCCCATGGGAAGTACTTTCTCACTTTTCTTCTCTCTCTGTTTCTCTCCTAGGAATTCATTTGCCCTCTGGCACAATTAAAAGATAAATACATAAGAATTTGCTTTCTTTTGTAGTTGTCAAACTACTCAGATTTTCTTTTCTTTCAGAGCTGCCTATCATACTTTTTAATCTATTTACTTTCTTAATCTTGTCAATATGTTGCTATAAATATTTTTTACCTCCTTCTTGCTAATACAGTTAGTTTGTTCTCTTATCCTTTAATATGTTTCTCTAAATTTTATGTATTTTATAATAGTCCTTACTTAATATATTAGAATTTTGTTATAATTTAAATTTTAATTTTTTTCAAAGGATGACAGAAACATGGGCAATAAAAGAGAGAGAATTTCGCTTTCCCATTATGAGTTCTGAGTCTCTGACTTCGATAAGGAAAATAAAGCAAATGTTTGCCTTTTTTCTTACATTATCAGAATTAATATGATTGAAAAGTGGGAAGACAGAATTTAATACATATGTTAAAGTACTGAAAATCTACCAGATTTATATGCGAATTCTGGTTTAAATTATTTTTCTTCCCAAAATATAACTTAACATCACCACTCCATACATTTTCATATAAGAAAAAAATGATTCTTTGTGTAAAGTTCTTTATATATCATCTGAGTTTATTTAGATTTGAGACCTTGAACTTTTAAAAAATTATGTGATTTTTTTTTTACCAACTGCTGTGCTTTTCTTAGATTAATGATAAAACCAATTGTTCAGTCCTTAGACTCTGACAGCATACAAAGAATTCTGACAACTTTCTCCCACTCCAGTTCCTGAATAACATGTAATTTCCTCAATATGACAAAATATCATTTTAGCATTCATGTCATGCCTTGGTGCTCGTTTTTCATTTTTCCATAAGTTAATGAGTTCTAGCAAAGAGTGCCTTCATGAAGTTGTCTTTTGCCAAAAGTCCTGCTACAGCATATGGAGCTTGTGACAAGCTACAGTATTAAGGAGATTTGCTCTAAACCAAGCCTCTAAAGTGTGCATGGGAATACTAAATGCATACCTGTGTGTTTTGCAGACAATCCTGGTTTGCTGAGCCATGTCACAGTGGGTATTAGAGTTCTGGATGTCAATGACAATCCACCCGAACTTGCCAGGGAATATGATATTGTTGTCTGTGAAAATTCTAAGCCTGGCCAGGTAAGTTAATTGTTTCCTTCCTATCATTTGAATGGAAGAAAAACAAGCAGATTTATTTCTATTATTCTTAGGTATAATCCTTGAAATCCCCCAGTGTAATTTTTATACTCAGCGAAATAATTTTATGAAGCTTTATTTTAAGTACCAAATAATATGTTTTTTTTTAGAATTAAAGAAAATAAAGTTTCTCTGGATCCAAATGTAATTCAGAAAAATGAACTTGTTCATGCCTGATGCATTCATCATGCCAATAAAACTGTATTGAATGCTTTACACACAGTCGCACATTAAGTGAAGAGGAAACAGTGAACTTTCCTGTCCTAGGGATGCTTAGAGCCTAGATTGGGAAGGAGAAACTAACTTGATCTATTCTGGAGGATCTCAGGGAGTGACATATGAATGATAAATGAGCAACATTGGTACTAGACATGATAAAACTCAACAACGTGAAGAATGAGAATGTGTCAATGGCATGGGGAGATCAAAGGAAGAGAGCTTGAACGCTGGGTTGAGGATTAATGGAGCACAGCCTGCAAGTGAAGGAACATGGCTGTGGCAGGGAGATCAAGTGGTGTTTGCAAAGTAATCATTGCTTATATGATTTTAATGCTGTCAGAAAAAAGTATGTCTATTTCTATAAATCTATTCATGTTATATATACATATATATGTATATATACACACATATACATATGTGTATATAAATATATATATGTATATATGTCTGTATATGTATACATATATATGTATAAACACATAGTGCATGTGTGTGTGTGTATGTAATGTACATACTGATTATCAGTCGTAAGTTTGTGTTTTTATAACTTTATGAGGAGTTTAGAGGAATATAACCACTATAAGCTGAGAAGCATTTGGACTTAGGGTGATTCAACCTAACATGTTTTGACTTTATGATGGCTTTATCAGGGTATTAAAATGCATTTTTCCTTATGATATTTTTTTACTTACAATGGGTTACTGGAATATTACCTTATTGTAAGTAGAGCAGCATCTGAATATAAATGTCTGGCTCTATTTTACCTAAAATTTGTATCCTGTTCCTCACTGTTAAAAACATTAATGACAATACATTTGAAGAGATTAATTCAAGAGAAGAATGATCCATGAACTGAACAGTGCTCAGAGCCAGTACAGGTGTGGAAAGCAATGTGAGCAGTGACTTTGGAGAGTGTTCATAGTGCAGTCTGCTTTTAATTATTTTTTAAGTGCTCTTTAAATCCTTTTCTTAAGATTAGGAGACAATAAGTAGTCAGAATGAACAAAATTAGGACTGGGAAGTGAATGTAAGTAAATGCCCCATGATTTCCTGTTGAAATTTTCCCAAAATTATCCTTGTTTGATGAGAAGAATGAAAAGGAACATTCTCCTGGTGGAGAAAGTTTTAGAAAAGTTTTCTTAAGTGTTTGTATGACAATCTTCAGTTATCTTTCCCAACAGTCACATAATTATATTATTTCTTTCTCTTTCCTTTTTTTTTCTCTCTCTCTCTGTGTATGTGTGTGTGTGTGTGTGTGTGTGTTGCTAGATGACATGTGTGCTTGCCAGAGAAAAAGAGAGACATAAAGAAAGGGAGAGAATAAAACACACCCTATGGGAATGGTTATGCTACAGTCTCTCCTCCATTTCTCTAGTTTTTGAGTTTGGAAGCATGCACACCACGCACTTAGTGTATTTTTCAAACCCCCCCCCCCGGGGGAATTTAAACCATATGGCCAGCCATGTGGGATGCAGCTGTCCTATCCACCAGGCCATAAAGCTGTCCCCCGATGTTATCATTTTTGTTCTTTCAGAAAGCCAACAAGGAATATGCCTTGAGCACCCCCGAAATTCTTGCCATAGCTCTTGGTCTTGACCAGTTCACTTTTCCTCTGCCTGGACCACTTTCATCTCTTGATAGTCATTGGTTTGATTGTGCTTTGTCTTTAGAATTATACTGGTAAAGCCATGCATCATCTGCTTTTACAGTTCTTTGAAGAAATGCTTCACGATCTTGACCCTACTAGATTAAATATTTTACTGAAAACTTTGCTTTAGCATGCAGCTGATCTGTGAGCAACAGTTTCAGCACTCATTGAGTAGAAAGTTTGTTCAATTATAATTTTTCAGTCCTTATTGTGTAACGTCAGCCCGTTGCAATGTTTATAGTGTTGTGGTTTGGGAGATGGTTTTTGCCCCGAAGTTCCATGTTTTGAATTTTGATTTTGGGAGATGGTGATGCCCAATGGGCCATGATTGGATTGCTGTGATTGCAGCAAGAAGACAACACTTGTGAACAGACCTATGGTGAGACACAGAGAGTTCTAGCTCTTATAAGAGATCAGTTCTGTCAAGAGCAGGTTGCTGTAAGAGAGAACTGCCTACAGCTCCTCTCTGCACATGCATACCATCCTCTGTGCTTCCAGTGGCCATAGTATTTTCTGGCCCTGATGCTAGTCCTATACCTTTCAAACTTCTAGTCACCAGACTTGTGAGTCAATAAACCTCAATATCTTTATAAATCACCTGATGTCAGGTTTTTCTGTTACTAATGCAATGGAGAACTAAGATATGGTTAGGTATCGTGTCTGCTGTTAAGCACCAATCCTCATTAAGTAGAGAATGGACAAGCTTAATTTTTCCTCACACACTGGTGAATGGTCTGCTACTGCTAACATCATTTTCAATATCATCTCATGCCTTCCTAAGAGTAGCTATATATTTGTAAACTACCTATTTCTTTGGGGCATTTTACTCATAAATTTTTATAAAGCATCAAAGATTGTATAATTCTTCTATCCAAACTTCACACTATAAATTTGATGTTTGTTTTCATTCAATTCTAGCAGAATTCATGTTTCCCTGTTAGTGGCTTTTTTTCAAACATATTTCTTAGTGCCTCAAAATATATTCTTTTTAGTCATCTTATAATAAGTTAGTAAAAGTATATTTTGGTGCAATACCTTTTTAAAATACATCCATTTTTTTCTACAGCACATGCTTTCCATGAACTTTTTGAAGCCCCATTGCATATTTCTTCCTACCACAAACAATTAAAAAGAAAAACTTAAAACTCTCCATCACTTCACTGACACATTAAAAAATAAAACACTGTGGAATAAATGTTACACTTTTAGGACTCAATTACCTCCTTTATTTAGAGTAAGACATAAAACTTAGGTCTTTTCCCTGAATGAGTCTTTCTTTTGTTGACTGTAGGGTTACTCAGATCTAACAACTGGCCAATTGAAAATAACCATTCAAAAGCAAACATGTGCATCAGATGTTCTTAAGTATTATTCTGATTAACTAATTAAAAAATTAAATAAATTACCTCTTTAAATTTCAAGATAGTAGCAAAACTTTAAGGATAAAGTATGTTGTGATACTGTGGAATAATACACAGTTGCAAGTCCTTGCTCTTGGTACATTTTATCTTGCTTCTCTGGATGGGAACATCTGCTCCCAAGTTTAAAATACTGGGGTCAGCTTTGTGGTCTGTATAACTTAACCATCCTCCCTCATAGAACATACTTTTTCCTCAATGTCACATTACTTGCCTGGATCCTCTGTTTTATTATAATTTACCACAAAATCTCTATTGTATTTCTTGTCTTTTTCTTTCTGTTTATTTTTTTTAGAGAGATTTTTCCTGTAGGGCATATGCACTCACTGGAGGGACAGAGAGAGACAGACAGTGAGAAATCACACCCCACCCCCAAGAGGGATGACCATACTGCCATCCCTTCTTCTCCAATCTTTTCTCAGGATTTGGAGCATGCATGCACACATGCCCAGCATGAATTTTAAGCTGCCAGTTATGGGATTCGAACTGTGGAAAACTACGTGGGAGTCCAGCAACATAAGCATTATACCATCGCTGGTCCCAAGCCCTATTGTATTTCTAAGAGATATTTCCATGACAGTGACATTGAAATGATGACTGTCAGAGTCTCAGAGTCCTTCCAAGGGTAAGAGCCCATGAATAAATGAATAGATATGTATCAAATTCCTTTAAATATGAGTAACCTTGTTTTCTGCATGAAATACCATTATACTCTTTGGAGAAGCATGTCTCTATGAGCACTCCTTACCTTCCTCCCTCCTTCCCTTCCTTTCTCTCTCTCTCTCTCTCTCTCTCTCTCTTTCTTCCTTCCTTCCTTCCTTCCTTCCTTCCTTCCTTCCTTCTTTCCTTCCCTTTCCTTCCCCTTACTTCTTTTCTTCCTTACTTCTTTTTTTCTTCTCTTCTCTTCTCTTCCCTTCCCTTCCCTTCCCTTCCCTTCCCTTCCCTTCCCTTCCCTTCTCTTTTCATTTTTTTCTTTTCTCTTCTCTTCTTTCTCTCTTTTTTTCTTTCTGTCTTTCTTTTTCTTTATTTCTTTCCCTTTTTCTCTCTTTCTTTCTTCAAGTTTGCACACAGCATGTACACTTGCCAGATAGGAACAAAGAGACAGGGATAGAAAGTGAGAAGGAAGGTGAAAATCATCCCATGGGGGCTGGGAGTATGGCTAAGCCACATTCAGCTCTCATCCATTCTCTTAAGGGGTTTTGGGATGCATGCACACACATCCAGATTAGTTTCCAAGCCTCCAGGTCTGGGACTCAAACCACATACTCAACCATGAGGGATCCAGCTACTTTAAACACTATACCACCAGCTGGCTCCATTTCTGTTTTTAAAACACCATTTCTTTCATGGCAGAGAAGTTGATAGAGTACATGAGACAAAGTATGAGAGTGAGTATGCATGCGTACACACTAAAGGAAAAAGAGAAAGTGAGACAGAGACACCAATTCATGACAAAATCTTGCCAGGACTGAATTTCCTTCCCCAGCCTTCCAGCCAGCAGGTATCATGGGCAGGTACACGGGCAGGTGCACCTGCCAGGCAGGATTCAGTTCTGCTCAGGATCTGAAAACTGTTTGATCACATGGCTCCAGCGCTGCAGGGCAGCACCTCACCACCCATGCACAACCTCTGTATTTCATTTTTCTTCTCTTTTCTTC